TCCTTGTAATCGGTTCCCTCTTTCCAACCCACCCTCCCTCTACCCTCCCAGTGTCGCCACTCACACCAGAAATTGCTTCCACTTTAACTGTGGCTTAGGTCTATGATTCTCTGAGTGAAGATACTACCTATGAATCACTAATCTATGTTCTTCTACGAAAAGACTCAGAATAATAATAAACACAGTCCTATCCTCAGGGCTTGAAACGCTTCGGATGACAAGATGAAAGAAATGGGTGACATCTGTTCTGTCTTGATACGTCTTGTTGCTGTTGGGTGCCACGGAGTTGAGTGACTCACAGCCACGCCGTGGGCGTGGACAGAAGACCCCCAGCGTTGTGCCTCCCTCACAGGAGATGTCATGCTGGAGTCCCCTGCTGCAGCCACACGGGCAAGCTCCTCTCGGCAAGGCCCTTCCTCTTCTTTTGGTGACCCTTTAACTGACCAGGCATGATGTCTCTCTCTAGGGACTGGCCCTCCTGATAACATGTCCCAAGAATGTGAGGTGACGTTTCCTCATCCTCCTTCTAAGGAGCACGCTGCTCGTTATTTGTTGAAACAGACTGACATTCTGTCAATTCCTGGGGCCTTGTTTTTACCGAAGGAGCGTTGGTGGGGTAGTGGTGACACACTGGGCAGTGATCCGTGTGGTCGGCAGTTCTAAACCACCAGCAGGTCCTTGGGAGAAAGCCTGGACTTTCTACTCCCATAAGCAGTCACAGTCTCGGATACCCCCAGGGGAGGGGGGTGATCTGAAAGAGTCAGCATTGACTGGACGGCAGGGAGTTTGGTTTGGGGTTGTTTGTCAGCGCTGCCCTGGGGGCGGCATAGACGCCTTCCTTCAGTAGGCTGGCCTTGATCACGTGCAACCTGTTGAGCGCCCACCACTTCTGTTTGGTGCGATGACTGTGTCTTCCTCCGTCTTCTCTTGATGAGATGAACGGAAACTCTTAATATTTGCTAATATAGGCTTTTTTTTCACTCCTCAGAGAACAATATAATTGAAATCCATGTATCTTGATATTTAACAGATGGATTTCAATTATATTCATCTCTGAGGAGAGAAGAAAAATATACAATAGCAAATATTAAAACCTGTCATTCCTCTCTTGATTTACCATTAAAGATTAAGTACCACACTTTTAGTCTTTAACTAAAATGGTGCCTGTGTGTGTACATGTGCCAACAGTTCCCGATGCTTCACAAATTACCTATTATCAGGGACCCAT